AATAACTTCTGATAAATTAATCCCTCTACTACTACTACTACTACTACTGAAACTACAGTTACATCCACAGTTGTTTTACAAAACAAACATTAAAGAAATGAAGTGTTACTGCAATGATTTTTATGTCAGTAGGCCACAGTTTCGTTCCTTTTGTCCACCCCAGGAGAGCAGTGTGTTTTGTCTTCTTATGATGGATGCTTCCCAGAAACACTTTTTTTTGCTGTTGCCTGAAAATACTGCAAATGAAAACACAGCATTTTACCACAATACCTGCTGGCTGCTACGCAAAAAATAAGCCACTGTAGATTTGTCTGTGTGGAGTTGCTGGGATCACAGGTTATTAAAATTAATGTAACCGAATAAAAGAATAAAAAAAGACTAGAACAAACCCTCACCACATCATACGAATTTAACGCTTGTGCTGAAAGAACACATCCTGACATTTTTTTCTCAGCTATTCCAGCTCAGCAGATCAATATTTGAGCCACAGAAGTGCTTGTCTTTTCCGTTTGAAATGGCAAGATGCAGAGTCCTGCGTTAGCTGATGTAGGTTACAAGGAAACTAATTTTAAAAGAACCAGACTGACAGGTAATGGCACAAGGAGCACAGATCTGCCATTGTGAATAGTGCAGTGAGGGGAAAAAATCAGGGTAGACTGCACAGGTTAATGACTGTGTAGACAGGTTTTATGCAGAGCATTTTAAACTGTTTTAGGTCAGAAGAAACTACTTAAGGAGCCCTGTGCCTTTATGGGACCACAGTTGTGTTGTTTATCTATTTTCATTACAGGCTGACAATTTTATTGATGCCAGTTTATAGGTCTCTCAGTGTAGGCTGATAGCTTTTGAAGTTCTCCTGTCCACTCTGCTGTAATCAGAGATCCCAGTTTAGGAGGCTTGTCTGTCATCTTCTGGCTGTGTTACGTATTTTGTTGATAAATACAAAGAAAAAAAAGGAGTTGGATAAGTAGCAAAGGAAAGAAAAACCAAGGAAATTAGTGGAGACAATAGAAGGCAAGCAGACAATGTCAATTACTAAATTTTAATGAGACAGGAAAAAGGGACTTGAAGAAAGTTAATGACGAAAGGTATATTTTAAAAGATTAAATATTCAAGTATTAACAACACCAGAGCTCTCCACGGTCGCACGACAGTAATAAGCAGCAGAGAAATGGACTGACAACGTGTAAGAGGACATCAAAGAACATAAACTGGAAATGAGGAAAGCAACAGACATGACAAAAGCCAGAATCATTCTGTTACGATCTCCATTTTCTTTTTGTCAATGTAGATGGACAAAGGTAGTTGTTTTAAAAATGAAGAATTTAAAGAGAACATACATTGCAATCAGGAGATGTCACTCTCACTAAGGAGTGCTGTGGACAACAGTCCCACACATGGGCACTGTAACAGGTGAAACAAGCTCCTCAGCTCTTCAAGAGCCCACGGTCACCCAGAAGCAAGGCTGTAAAGCCTGTAGGTACCGTCCCTTGCCCTAGAGTTCCTTACTTATGAGAGCTGTAATTAAAGATTACGAGTTGCCAGGCTGCGCAGAGCAAGGTCAGCCTTTGGAGAGTCAAATAACACTCACGCACACGGCAGGAAGGTGGAATTTTCTGGAGCTGCAAAAAAACATCATGCAACTCGAACTTAAGCCTCCGTTTCCATGGAAATGTGATGAGACAGACATCAAACGAAAAAGAAAATGGACCTCCAAGGATAATCGTGCTTTTCTGTCATTCCTCAGAGTGTACGTCTAAGACTAATTGCACAGCTCTCTGCTTTTCTCAGAAGCTGTTCAGAAGCACAGCATCAGGCGGCTTTTTAAGTCTGAGTCTGCAGGGTCATTCGGGATGATCTCTCTCCCTACCGAAAGTTTTCGTAAAATCACACACCTCCAGCTCCGCACGACGCTCACTGCAATAACCTTGGACGTCCCATCAAGACAGGGGGTAAGAAAGAGATGAAGCAATATTGAAAAGATCAGTGTAACATGGACTAAAGTGAAAGCAACAGACAGAAACAAGATATTCCATCTTTCTACAACTCTTTTGCACTGCAATAGAAGACAAACTTTAACAGTGGGCAAGTTAGCAAGACAGATATGGCAAGATATGTTGTACTGGTAAATGCTGAATTTTTTAAAAAGAGTCTTGTTAATGCCTTGAAGTAAATCTGTAAATTGGAACAAATTCACCAAAATGTGATGGAAAAATTAAAGACCACATTGTGGAAAAATCCAAGGTGATAAGATCAAAGTGCACAAACAAACGTATAACAGTGTGAAGTAATTGCATCCAAGTGACTGTTTCTGGCAAGAAAGTCTGACAGCTGCACCCTGGAACTGATACACTATGACTGATGCCTTGAGGGTCGTTAGCCTTTCTGCAAGTTTTGCTCCTCGTGTATCTCATATGTATCACAGTGCTTTCTGCTGAATGCATATAAAGATTAGAGATGTGACACAAGATCAGTCACAAGCAAAACTATGGCTAATTCACAAGAATCTAAATCTAATATCAGTAATAAATAAGTATATGTACTGTATTCTATATTATTATATATAATAATAATATTAAGTTCACAGTTTGGTAAACTTAAATGTCGCATAAACTTGCTTTTTTGCTTCAAGCAGCACAAAATGTGAACATCTTGTTTTTAGGTATATGTTTGTACATGAAAGTCTGCTGGAAATATAGGCTGAATTGAACAGTGTTTCACAGTCCGGAAATCCAGTACAGAACAGAATTACAAGTTGTTCCGGCAGCAAATCATTACAGGAGTACACTGGAATCAAAAATTTATCAGGCTCTTGCATATCTTTATAGTTTCTGGTTCAGGCTTGACAATCAAAAGACAGAAACAATGCCAGCCTTTTATAAACCACAGTGCCAATCATTTAATTTCCACTACCTGTACCTATATTTATGATCTATGTTATTTAACACTATATAGATATGTGCAGTATATGGACAAGTAAAGTCAAGAACATGACACTATCGTTACTGCCTCTACATGCTGTAAATGTGTAAATGTACTATTTTTACCAAGCTACACCAAATACTCTAATAGTTATAAGCTCTGCTTAAAGTATATTTACTGTACTATTTCCCATACTGTTCTGGATATGCTGCAGTAAACATGAGGTTAACATGAATGCATCCTCTTAAAAAATAGCAAATTTGAATGGCCTCCTTGCCTGAACATGAAAGACAACAGAAATAACCCTTGTTTTGAAGTTTCAATTAAGAATAAATAAATTAGGCAAAGCACTCCTTTGTTCTGTGTTTTGATGCAGACAGAAGTACATTTGCTTTGACAGATCACAGATGAAACGTCATGAGCACGCTAGACTCACATTCAGAAATCACTTTCTAAATTACCTAGAAAGAAAGAGGGGTTTGCATAATTCCTAGAAGATGCTACACTCATGATAAATGATGTGCCATTGATGAATAAGCCATTTGTGTGCTTTGAATCTGCAGTTAATTGAGATTGTATATCAGAATCATTTTCGAAAAGCCATCTATTTATTCTGATGTGTCAGTGCTCTGGCTAAGTGTGGCTAAATTACAGCAGATGATTAAACTCTAATCTAGATCTTTAATCCACCTGTGAAAGCTAAAATCACTGCCAGATCCTAGACTTTACATCTAAAGCAGCATGGATTTACAGATTTAAACACATTTATGTTTTGAACAAGTATAAGATGAACAGACTAGATTCTAGGCACGCCCTGGTATTTGAACATTTGGCAACATAATCACCAATAATAGACATACAGTAGATATTTTTGTGAGTTTTGTTTTAGAAATTTTAAAGAATATCCTTCTATGTCCACAGATTTCATGTTAAGGAAGTATGAACCATGGATATATGTATAAAGTGCACAGTGACCTCTACCCCTAACATGTCTTTCTCACAGTAAACCCTAAACATACTTTCTGTGACTTCTGTATGTGCACATCCCCAGCTGTTAGTAGAATACAATGAAGTGGTAATGTTACTGAAACTGCTTTCAACAATGTAGAAGAAAAGTGTGAGAAATTCAGTACTAATGTATTTCATTTATCCTCTACAAGGTCAGTGGGTTTAGACTTCAGATGTTAACTTTAATATACCTTGTAGTCCAGATCCTTTGCTGGCCTTTTCCGAAGCCCGCTATGTTTTTAATAAACTAGTTTGCCTGTGCTTCGCCACAGTTCTCTCTGTTGCCAGCTGTGTACGATAAAGATCCTACGTTTTGACACTTAATAATGAGCTCAGACTCCAACAAAAGATTCATGTCATTGGTGACTGCATCTCTGGAAACTTACAGATGCATCCAGCGCCCTGTTCATCTCCAAGGGAGACTTCTTTTAAGCACACCTGCACACACACAGGCCCCCTACTTTGCTTGGTGTTTGACTAAGATAGATCGGCAGCAGCACTGACAGATTTGCTTCTTGTGTCTTCCCCTTGATATAAAACAGCCTTATTACTGCCTGCAGCCAAGTGATAGCTAAGGACACTTCTGACGCAAAGTCTATGTGACAATATGGAGTGGAAGCCAGCTTATTATCAGTCTCTGCTACCAGACTGCTTGGCATAAATCGGAAAATCTGAATGCAGCAGCCTCTCTCTGCTGCAAGGTGCTTTTCTCCCTTGCTGAGGTTTTTGAAAGATCATGGTTCATGTCAGATAAAGAGGTAGCTTGTGCAATGTGTGTCACAACCCAAGTACTTGAGTGGAACTTGCTTTTCGGCTCCCATCTGGAAGGGCTGAGAGCAGACACAGACCGTGTTTTTGTGCAAGAGGTTAACCTGTTGTTCTTTTTCTTTCTGGAAGCTTTTGTAAAAGCCCCTTTAAAGGGTACACTGCGAGTAAATACATACTGTATAACTAAACGTATCTAATAAATGGATGTGCTCTAAAATCATATTGAAAGGCATAGGTGTTAGTGCTATTGAACAGAACAAGACAAGTAAATTCCAGTGCTGAACGTGTGTGTCTTTTTCCAGGCTGTGTGGTCACGGTCTCTGGCCGAATGACCTTTGCCAGTAACAAATCCATGGAGATTGAGGTGTTTGTGGACGCAGACCCCATAGTGGAAGACGCAAAGGGGAAGTACCGCGCTGTCAGTGCCTTCTTTACGTTCATCTCCCTGGATAAGGAGGGAAAGCCCCTGCCTGTTCCCCCTCTGAAGGTAAGCCATGGAATTAACACTGTCCTGCTGGATGCCCCACACCTGGCTTTGTCAGCTTTGCCTTGCAACCAGGAGTCTGATCCAGCCAGCACTTAGTTAATTATTTTAAATTCCAAACTGTGCAGTGTAAGCAAAAAGTACTCAGGCCATCACCTATTTTAAATAACTGGGACATGTAAGTGATTGCTATGCAGCACATGCAACAGTACAGAGTGACAGGCATTTAGATTGAAAACCTGCACTGGAGTGGGATGCTCTGGGATTGGAGCGGACAAATATGTGTGAATAATGGAATTCGACCAGCCTGTTTGTGCTATTCAATATGTGGCCTTTCCATTGCAGGTTTTACAGTAAGTTCTGCCTGGCTCTCTAATGCTCCACTGAGCTGAGCAATGTTTTGTTACAGAATATAGTGCTGAAAGGAATTGATAGGGCTTCATGGTGAGAATCCCTCATTTCTGATCATGCACACAACTAACTTTGATGCTTGCAGTGCAGGAAGGAGCTCTCTCGGTAGGCAATGGGGAGTTTTGTAATTGATTTGCAATTTGGAAGAGGACCACTAGGCAGAAGTTTGTTTTTAACACACTGAAATTTCTTCAAAAAGCTACAACTGAAGTAATTGCATATTTGTATCCTACTGAGTTACCTGTGGACTGATTTGAATGCCAGCTGCTTACAATTCATACTGTAGTTGGCCTTGTCTGCACAGATAGTGGAAAAAGGATCTGGAAGTAGGGTGCTGTAGAGGTGTTGAACTCTGTGATGAAACCCAATCTAGCTTGTGAATAAGTGCCACTGAGCGTGTGATCTGTATCTCTTAAAATGCTGTGTTAGATTAGTATATGTAGTCGCCTTTGCAGCAAATCTATCCTTCTGAAGCATTTCATAAGCTAAAGAATCCTGAACATGTGGTTTTCTTTTTTTCAAAAGAAAATCGAACTGGGACTATGTTTCTCTCCAGGCCAGCCCG